CTTAAGACAGGCAACTAACAAAACACCAATCTAATTTCCTCCTTTTCAACAGCTACTTTCACTCCCTTAGCTTTACCACTATTACCCTTGTTCTGTATGGTACTGTTAACTCCAGGACTCATTTCTGTCCATTCACTACCTTGTTTGTAGTCTATTTTCTATAGTGCTGTCATTATCAACACAAAGGCATACAATATTCAGGGAAAGGCAGTTTAAATTCCACAGAATAGCTAAGTGGGCAGGGATAACTGGTTTGACATCCCAGCATTTCCTTTATAGAACTTTCATCAGTAAGTGAGGACAATATTTCCTTTATGGGTCATGGTAGAAACTAACACATAAAAATACCTGAGAGCAAGTTGTTAATTCATGATTATTGTGGTGGTGATGGTGTGATGATGATGGTGATAGTGGTGATGATGATGATGACCTGGTTTCTGAACACTTTTAGGAGTTATGGTGTTTGATGAATTTGTAGGTATTTGAAAGTAATTAGTGAATTTCTTGTCTTTTTTGTTCTGTGAGACCTTATTTTATGCGATGGATATTTACTTTCTCCCTTTCATACATGTTATAAATACTGTTTCTATTTTGTTATTTGTCTAAATATTTCTTACAGAATTTTCCAGAAGCACCAAGTTTTCACAACATTGTTCCTGTATAGGTTCTGACTTTGATGCATGCGGCTCTCTCTCTTTCTCAAGTTCTTTGTTTACCACTTCAATGGATACTCATTTTATGTTGGATTTTTCAGACTATAATTTTTCCACAAACAAAACCATATGAACAGGTTTCAGACTTATTATGTATGCAATTAATGTAGACAATAATTTAGTAGTGGTATTTGTTTAAAATGGATAATTAAAAATTTAAATTTATAACAAAATGTTGAAAAGGCATAAATACTGATCTTTTCATAACATGCATATGCCAGAATGGGGAATTACAATAGAATGATTCTAAAATATATCCAAGTAGTACTTACTGTGAAAGTAAAATTCTTTGATTACTTCTTTATATACTAGAAGTAGAACAAGTAGTTCATTCCTAGAAATTGGTTTGTTCTTTTCCTACTAAATATTGCTTCATACATTGTAAAATTCCTGGTAAGTTTAGTCATTTTTTATGACAGCCTCTAACACTTATGGAACAAAACCAACACACTTTATAATGCTAGCTGTTAAGAATATAACAAAGCTCCCCCGCTTTCACTATATTTGATGTCAGTATAACATGTGGAGGAGATGGGGACAAACAAGTCGTTTAAGGATTCAGGTGGACCTGTTGCAACAATGAGAAGTACAAAATGTCATGTCAAAACCAGCTTTACAATGTCGGGGGGGGGGGGAGGGGTGGTATGATTGGGTGGGAGGGAGGGGGGAGGCTGGGAAGGGAGGTGAAGGGTAAACAAAGGAGGAGGCTGCAATGCTTGGTAAGAAATGTATGCATTATCCTGCCCATGTAATTGTAACCCCTCTGTACAGTATGTTCTCAAATAAAATAAAATTAAATTAAAAAAAAAAAAAAGAATATAACAAAGCTCAACTAGTGTTAAAGAATTATAAATGCTACTAATGAAATTAATTAGATTTAGAAGAAAATTTCTGAGAATCATACAACCCATTACAAATTTCTCTAATCTAGGTAGGGAGCCAAAAGTATATGTTTATCTTACTCACCAAATTAATCATTAATATTAATGATTAATCATCACCCCTGGACCATTTTTCCCTTTTCATTTGAAACACTTAAGAATCCTAAAGTAAGAATATACTTTTTCAGACCAAAACAACATGGCAGATTGGGTAAGTACCTCAATGGTAGAATGCTTACTTAGCATTCAGAGGCTCTAGGCTTAATCCCCAGCACTGGAAACAAACATTCAAAAATCAAAACAAACAAAAACAAAACTAGTAAACAAAATAATTATATAATGGTCAACAGTTAAGTCCACTGTAATGAAGTAAAGGTTCAAAGTAACAACTCTTCAAAATGATATACAGAGCTAATATTGAGTCATTCATTGGGCTAATTACCTATTTAGAAATATTGTCTTGAGAGTTCAAAAATTATTATAACATTTTAGAAGAGGCCAAGTAAACCGATGCAATTCTCCTTTATCATGACTATTATATCTCTCTCCTTAATAAAGGTAAATGTTTACAGATAATTAGTTGTCTAAGAGTTTATGAGTTCTACAAATTAAAGCTAAAATACTAGGAAAGACTACTACCAGCTGATCAAAAATGATCAGGAAAGCATGATTTAAACAGGAGTTGATAAAAATATTCAGTAAAAGTGTTCTTATTTAAAGCCAAGGAAAAGCAAACTTTGCTTTTTATAATGTACAGAAACAACTGGCAAAAGATCCTACCTTCTGACCTCTCAGTGACAATGACCTCAGAAATGGATGTGTACATAAAGTCTAGTGTCAGATGAACAGATATCTTGGCTTTTGCACACTTTTAGGGCTAGTAGATATGCTGGGAAATATCTTAGCCCACAACATGAAGTGAAACAAACTCAACTATAGGGATTTTTAAAAAAAAAACAAACAAAAACTGAATCAACAAAAAGGAGCTAACTCTGTGTTATCATGCATTTTCAATACTGAATAGTAAAATGATAGTTTTTTTTTTTTTAACAGTTTTACCTAGTTCATACTCTATATCTTCTTTCATAGGTACTTAACCCACTCGGGTACTATGGGAAAGAAGAGAACTTCAGAAAGAGATTGTAAGGTCCACTCCTGGATGGCGAGCAGACTCCACCCTCCTCACAGCAAAGTCTCCACCCAGTACCTGCGTTACCTAGGCAACTGGGACACCTGGAAGAGGTCACATCTGCATCCTCTGAGGTCACATCTGAATTTGATGTAGCCACACCTTTCTCTGCCCATACCCTAGATAAGGCCTAGCCCAGGCCCAGACGCCCTCTCTCTCTGCTCTTTTCTAGCTCTTTCTCAGCTCTTTCCTTCTCTTCTCTTTCCCAGCTCCCTTCTTTTTCCTAGCTCTCTCTTTCCCACCTTTCTCAGACGCCCCTTCTTTTCTAGCTCTTTTCTCTCCCTTTCCCAGCTCTTTCCCAGCTCTCTTTCCCAGGCCTTTCCCAGCTGCGTGGAGGGCCAACCTGGCCTGGTCCCAGCAGGTCTACTGAATAAACCTACCCCTTACCTGAATACCACATGTGTGGTGCTGTTCTTACTTGGCTATCTCTTTTGAAAAACCTAACAGAGATCACACATTTGGCTTTAGTTCCTATCTCTTTTTTTCCTTGTGTTCTCTCACTGTGTTTATGTTTGCCTCACTCTTTCCCCTTTCCCTTTTATTTTTTCTTTAATAAAGAGACCACTTTTTACCCCAGAAATAGCCAGTTTTGAGAATTTTACACTGTACAATCTATCACCTGGCACCATCTTTCATCAGTTTTTGGGAATCTCTGATTCTCTGGTGAGAACAAGGAATGCTTGGGAAACTTTTTTATGTGTTGAAGAAAATACTCAGAGCTTGTACTGTACTCAAAGCAACAAAAAGAAAAAGCAAAGAATGAATTCAAACACAAGGCATACATCTTTTACAAATGTCACAAGATGCTATTAACAATTAAATTGGTATTTGTTACACTGGAAGGAGTTCTTTTTATTTGAAAGCCTGACAGAATTTTGTTTTGAATAGTGATGATCATAATCCTTTGCTTGAATGTGGGAGAGAACTTTGACAAGTGTCAACTATAGTCTAAGGAAATAATGAGGAAAACCAGACTGTAGATGGGGCTAACAAAATCAAAATCTCCCCATGAAGAAAGTATAGTATATGGCTAGACTTGGAGTGATTTATTTGCTTTTATCCTAATTAGTATCATTTAGTTGCGAATCATGGCTTTAACCTCACTGCCAAAGTACTTTTCAAAGATTTTCCTTCGTGAAAACCTTGCATGTGGATAGGCATTGGGCTACAACCACAGTAGCACCTTGCTACTCTTAAGATTTGTTCTCTAAAAACTCCCAACTTTGCACAAAGTATTGATGTTATAGAGGTTAGTGCTTTGCTGGAAAGCAGAACAATTTCTAACATTTTATGATAAAAGCAAGCACATAACATCTGTAAAAGCTATTTGCAAGGAATAAAAATAAACTATTAATTCTCCACCTCTTCATGAATGTGTTTTATGCATCTTGAAGTCTCTTTTCCAACAAGCTGCTAGAGCGACACAACACATAAACAACGCAGGAGGAGGCAGAGTCTGTGCTCTGGGAATTGATGTCACCAACCCACACTGAATTGTTTACATTCGGCTCTTACCAGCCTCCCAGAAAAAGAATTCATTTTAGAAGCACCCATATTGTATTTACTTCTTTTTTTTTAAACCTCTAGCACACCTACAGTCACAATGTCTAAAAGAATAGATTACTGATGGAAATACAATACATGGCAAACATTATAAAACTGAACTGTTCATGTTGAATGAGGCTTGCTGTAATATGATTCAAGGAGGAAAATAAAAGCCCACATATAAGAAAACCCCTTTTATAAATAACCTGCTAGAAAACTTTGCCTTACTGCTTAAATAAGTACTAGACAAGTAGCTCAGGACTTTTACCACTAACAATCAAGGTGTCCTCTAAGAAAAGTAGACCATTTTAAAAGACAAAATAAGGGACTACTTTCCTGAGTCTCACCTAGAGCTAAAGACACAGTAATTATTATGCTCTTATTTCTTCCTTTCTAGTTTTCTTTCTTTGATTTACACTCACACACAGGCATACACACCGTGGAACTACAACAATTCAAAGCATGTTCAGGCTTCCAACATTTTAGACTTTGCAATTAAGAACAGATGAAATCAGAAGCAGGGGAGTTAGGAGAAGGGAAGGAGAAATGTGAAATGTGTCCTGTGCCCATGAAGGGGTGGGGGTGGGGGCAGCAGTGAAATTCCACCCAGTAAGTTATGCTACCACAGCCGAAGTGAGAGAGTTCAGTTTCAAAGATCCAATTAGATCTTACCTGGTTTTGCAGTTAAATGCACCAACGTGCCCCTAATTCTTCATCAGGAACACTACATATGCTGAGAGCGCTAGTATTTGACCTTACACATTTCCACAGGAGAAGCTCCCAAGTAACCTTTAACTTCAATAAAAAGCTGTGTTCATTCTTCTCCTAGTCCTCAACACACAGCAATCTAATACACCTCATCATGTGGTCCGTTGCTATGGTAGCAGCGAATCCAGCTGCTGAAATACAAAAGACTGACAAAAAGTTGCTTTTTTCCCCTCCACCCACCCTGACAAAGTCAGATTTTTTTTTCTGTATGACAAGTCTAGTTTGAATATGTTTCTCTTGCTGACTCAACTCTATGAACAAGGGGGGACAAGACGTGAAAAGAAAACCAAATAACAGAATAGAATAAAAGGTCTCCCACAGCATTTAAGCTAATGAAATCACCACTAATCTCTTGAAATACTGATCATTATCTCCTACGAAGTCTGCCAAATGAATATGTTTAAATGCCAGTTACTAAATCGATAGGAAATAATCTCACAGCACCTTTAAAACATTAAAAAATACATTAATTTATTCAGTAAACACAGATGCTGAGAACATACATCAGTTATATATATGAAGGGCTAGGTTCAAAGTATTTTTTTTGTTGTTGCTTTGTATGTCCCTCCCCCATGGTATAACCCCTGCTCTCACTGTATTTGATGTTGGTATAATTTGTGGAGGGGAAGAGCAAAAACAAATCGTTTAAATAGGGATACAGGTGGATCTATTACAACAATGAGATGTACAAGTTGTTATGTCAAAAAATGAACTTTTTTACAACTTTGGCAGGGGGGTGGTGGTGGTGGTGGAAGGGGTGGAGGGGTATGGGTGGGAGATGGGAAGGGGAAACAAAGGAGGAGGCAACAATGCTTGATAAGAAATGTACTCACTATCTTGCCCATGTAATTGTAACCCCTCTGTACAGTATTTTCACAATAAAACAAAGTAAAAAAAAAAAAAAAAGGTATTTTTTTTCCTCCACAGAAGAAACTTTCAATCCTAGCTTAGATGTGGGAGGTAAACTTCTTCACTTTCTTGTTATCAAAGTCCAGTATTTAAACATTAGTTCAACAGATCGGTTTCAGTTCTATTTGACAATAATCATAAATTTAGATCTATCGTGATGTGGTTTTTCCAGAAACAACTCAATTGTATTAGAGGGCTAGATCTTAAAAGGAAGACCTAGAGTTTGGGACAGGTTTAACTTAGAACACTTCTGGGTCTCTCCAGTGTCTATGGCAGAGAGGTAAAGAGTCACCTTCAGTTTCCTACTCATTGAAGGAAAGGTTGATGAAGTCTTGGTACCTGGAGCTTCCTGTCACCTGAGTCTTTCCCTACCACTACTTACACCTGTCCCAGCAGGAGCTCTGTCCTCCTGTCCTCTGGGGCCCTGTGTACTATTCCTCAGGCCTCTCTTGGTTTCTGGCTGCTTGCAAGTCTTGCTGTTTTCCCAATATATTTCCAATTTCTAAATCATAAGCTAATGTTTCTCTTGCTGACTCAACTCTGTGAACATAGCTTTCTCATCTCTCTCCAAACATGGAGTCCCTAAGGACAAAGAACTTTGTTCCATTCCTCTTTCTGTCTCAGATAACTGGAAAAAGATTTTGGTGTAGGCAGGGCTCTTTCGGTCAAAACTCCTGAATAGTTAGGAAAAAGAAGCACCACGCTTTGACTTTGGATTTATTGAGTGCTTAATATGTTTATGGTTTTTGAACTAGAGGACCAATGAGAAAGTTCAATGACACCTGACTTCTCCCTGATGCTGGCATTTATTTTTAACCAGATACACATTATTTATTAGTCAGGTGACTTGCAGTATGAGGTTAGATGACAACACAGAATAAACACAGTGACGGCTTTATGTAAAAAGCTGGGGCAGCTGTCCTCATCTCCAGCTCATCTATGAGAAAATGAGTAATCCAGACTGCTCCACAACCCACTGTGATATGGAATATAGGAAGAGGGTTAGAGTTGGAAGTGGATGTCTTAGATCTTTGATATTATTATTTTTATGTCTTTACTGTGATTAAGTGATTACATAAGTTTCACAGTATTGTGGCATGGTGATACTTAGCTAAAGTCACAAACTAATTTTAACCCTCACAATGCAACTTGTCATTATCTTCTTGATCTACAAAGCACCTTTGATTTTAAATATGAAAGGAAAACAGTACATAAAGCAGTTCATTGCAGTATTTATATTGCATTCATAAATAATGGTCACATCATCTATTAGTGATACTTTCACGAATTAAATGGAGTAATAGGAATCTGCCATGAAAGATATCAGTGTGTTCATAGATTGCTCTGTGTGTGTGTGTGTGAGTTCTGAGGCTTGAATTGAGGCCTAGATATTGTCCCTGAGCATTTTTGCTCAAAGCTAGTGCTCTACCACTTCAGCCACTCCTCTACTTGTAGCTTTTTTGGTGCTTCATTGGAGATCAGAGTCTCATGGACTTTCCTGCCCAGGCTGACTTTGAACTTTAATCCTCAGATCCCAGCCTCCTGAGTAGTCATATTACAGGCGAGAATCTCCAGATCCTGCTCCATAGATTTCATTTAAAATAATTTATTGATAGTAGATTATTAATAGCAGTCTTTAAAAGGAGGTGGCTTTTTTGTTATACTGGAGCTTGAAATCAAGGCTTGGCAACTGTTAGGCAAGCACTCTATCACTCAAGCCATCCCAAATCCATTTGCTTTTACTGTTTGTGAGGTAGGGTCTCACATTTCTGCTCAGGCTGGTCTTGGACCATGTTCCTGCAATAATTGCTTCTCAAGTAGCTGGGATTACAGAGCTGACCTACTATTCCTAGCTTTATTTTGAAAACAAGATCTTGTTTTTTTCTTTCTTCTTTCCTTCCTTCCTTCCTTCCTCCTTCCCTTCCTCCTTCCTCCTCCTTCTCTTTCTTTCTTCCTTCCTTCCTTCCTTTCTTTCTTTCTTTCCTTCTTTCTTTCTTTCTTTCTTTCTTTCTTTCTTTCTTTCTTTCTTTCTTTCTTTCTTTCTTTCTTTCTTTCTTTCTTTCTTTCTTTCTTTCTTTCTCTTTTCTCTCTTTCTTTATTTTCTTTCTTTCTCTATTTTCTTTCTGTTGCTTGGACTGACCTGGAACCTTAACAGTAAACTCACACCTAAAATGTCACCTTGATCTATAACAAGTATTTTAAATTACTTACCAGTATAGAGTCTTAACTGCTTTTCTCCATAGATGTCTACTTCAGGAAATTACAAAACCAATGACACTGGAAAATTAGCATTAAAATCTCCATGAAGATATAATACAAACATCAGCCAGGGGTTAATATAGCTGGATGTCACATACAAAACAAAACAAAAGAAAAACAAGCCCACAACATTAATTCCAGATAAATTGCCAGAAAGAATAAACCAAATGTGTAAGTTATATATTACAGGAAGAAGAAGAAAAGCCCTACAACAAATCAGTTGAGATGATTAAAATAGCTCTGGCACTGCTACAACCCTCAAAAATCTTCCAGTGTTGTGACTCACGAGGCTCCAATCCTACAAAGTGCATGAGATAGAACAGTCAAAAAGACAAGAAGCAGCCACACTGGCAAATTAGCAGCAGCTAATCTGCTTTCAGGCAGTATGGAGAGGAAAGACTAATACAGCCACAATTTGAATAATTCATACCTCTTCTCATGTATGTCTGGCTGAAGAGTGTTTGCATGCATTGCTTTGGGCACCTTTACCTTGTGCATTTTTTTGTTGCTACAGACAGTGGCCATTACTTGCATCTAATTCTTCATTTTGTAAACTTTATGAGCCTATGCAGTTACTAGATACTGAAGCTAGAGCATTTAATATAATGGCAAAACATGAGGTGCACCTTTTGTCTGATGATAAACCAGCTCCTTTGATTGTCTCTCCTTATACAACAAGATACAGTGAACTTGATTTCATGAAGTTCAAAACACCCTCTTCCCGTGAACAGAACTTATAACAGAACTTGTGCAGGGTTATCCACTTAACTGCATAGAAACAATTCAATCACATGAAGTTAAAAGTGTTTTAGTGGCCTATGGGATAATTTGGAAAGTACCCCCAGGATGTCTGTTTGCAGAGCCCTGGTTCCACATCAGTGACTGGGAGTTTAGGAAGTTATCTGCTTCACTGCTCTCTTTCTGGAGGAGTGAACACCTAATTTCCCACAAACCCCTATGAATCACTCCAGCTCAGAGGTTACAAGTTTGAATTAAACCACACAAAATGTATAGGCTGGCAATGTTCACGAAACAAGCCAAAATAATCGAACCTCTGTAAATGTCATTGTTCAGGTAACATTTTAAAACTATTTTTGGAGACCACAAATGGCCTCCTTGTTAAAGCACTGGTTTATATTAAGAACGCTTGTTATTAGCCACACAAAAAGAGATAGTGAGATACTGACTAAATTTTTTTTTTGCAAGCACACTGATTCTTGGGCTACTGTGAGCAGCTGACCTAAAAATATGAATCATATTAGTATCTATTCTATTTTTGTTCCTACCAAACAGCAAGACTGTTGATAAACATCTCCATTTGTAACAAAAGCAATATATTTGATTTCACCCTTAATATGTTTTCAAAGTATACACTCTACTTTTGAACTGAATTAATAGAACTTCTTTGCTTTTTTTTAAAAGATTATCTTTAAGTAGTTGTACAAAGAATTTGTCATTTAACAAAGCAGTTCATAAATATGTTTCTTGTCACACTTTTCAACATTTTTACCCATCCATCCCCTACCTACTCCTTCCCTCGCTCTTCATAATTTTGTAGCAAATACATTGGATTCTTGGTTGCATCTTCTTCCTCTTCTGCTCTTCATTCCTCTACCTTTTTCTCCTTGAACCCCACCCCACACCTTTTGAGTACCTGCCTCCTGGTGTTTTATTTTTCTGAACGTTTATTTTACCTTTTTAAGGAATTAAACTATTTGAGTGTATACATTTGTATATACTTGCATATCATCCAACTCATTTACTTACAACGTTATTAGCTAAATCTAGCTTCCACATAGAAAGAAAACTGTGTCTTAATAGATACACTACTATAAAATATCCTATTTTAAAATAACTCTATGAAAGTGA